AGAGAGAGAGAGAGAGAGAGAGAGAGAGAGAGAGAGAGAGAGAGAGAGAGAGAGAGAGAGAAAGAGAGACATGAAACAAAAATGAGACGGCATCAGCGAGTGTTGCTGTGCGCCGCGGCGTAGCCGTGGCGGGGTCCACTTGTATAATTAATGTCATTAGCATCGTCATCAACAGCTACTCTCATCATCATAGTACTGGTAATGTTAGTGGCATCATCAGCAAAGTTCATGAGGGACGCTGGGCCCGATTCCCGGCACGATCTGTTTTACCAACTCAATGATGTATCTCAGGGGGTGCTGGACCCGCTTTCCAGCAGGTGATAGCTCCCCACTTGTAGACTGGACCCCCCTGCACGACAGGTAGGAGTGCATGCTCTTACCATCACTCCTATCTGTTGATACGGGTGGATAAAAAAAAAGAAAAAAAAGAAGAGTATGAGCCGCATAGAGTTCTCGGCCATCAGCAGCACGCTGCGCCACCGGCCCACGTCCTTTCCCGTCAGTGGGGGATTCATTGCGGGTGTCTTCACTCGACATGGGGAATGATAGCGATGGTCTCTTCTGGTCGTGGCTACCCTCTATTGCTTGCGGGGGATAGGGATACATCTCGCAGGGATGTTTCGGAGATGGAAATGTTGCTGCTGGGGCGGCAAAGGGAGGCAGGCAGTACGTGTGAACCTGGTCAAATTTCATGGCGAGACATGGCGCTCTTTGTGTAATAGCAATTTTGTCCAAACGGACATATTATATTTTCTGAATGAAATTGAAATGTCATTTTTTGGGCAAAAAAGCATGAAATTGAGGGTACGGCGTTCTGAAAACGCCATACCCCCTGCCGTGTATCTGGACTTGGCCAAGATAAATGTGTAAAAAAAAAAAAAGAAGGTTTTTTTTAGTTATTTTAACACATGTATTTGGATAAGTCCAGATACACCCAGGGGGTATGGCTTACCCTCAATTTCATGCTTTTTTGCCCAAAAAATGACATTTCAATTTCGTTCAAAAAATATAATATGTCCCTTTGGACGCATTCCCTGTTCTATTGCCAGCAGTCTTCAGAGGCACTTAAGCAGGTGATAGATATTATCGCCTTAGAATGGGTTCGTATCCTAGGGAATGGCCCAAAGCTCTGCCCCAATGATTGGGTGACAGCTCGAGAACAATCTGGAATTGTAGGTAACCTATTAGAAATCAAAGTCAATACTATTGTCTATTTTTGGTCTGGAACCAGAGGGTACTACTCGTCCTAGGCATAGGGAGGACATTAAACCAGCAGTACCTCGCCCAGCTAAAAAAAATCTGAAGTGGCCGTTAACGCATCGCGTCGCACGGGGTACCTAGCACCAAACGACCAATATCCCCAAAACGAGCACAAAGAAAACGGGTGTGGCAGAGGGGGAGGGGAGGGGGAAGAACGAGGAAGAAATAAAGAAAAAGAGAGAGAGAGAGAGAGAGAGAGAGAGAGAGAGAGAGAGAGAGAGAGAGAGAGAGAGAGAGAGAGAGAGAGAGAGGGAGGGAGTCGCCACCTTGAAATGTGAAAAGCTGCCCATGTTGTAGCAGCAAGTTCATTCTCATTTTGCACGTTTCGAGAGTGGTGGAGGGCTATGCAGTGTCTGGCGGCGACTGGCGCCGAGTTTGGAGCACCAAACTCAGCGTCAGACTCTGTCTGACGCCCTCTCTCTCTCTCTCTCTCTCTCTCTCTCTCTCTCTCTCTCTCTCTCTCTCTCTCTCTCTCTCTCTCATCGTTCAAACTTCGAATGAGTCTTTCGCGTTGTCGTGGAAGATTCATTCTCATTGGGCATGTATGATTTTTTTTTCTTTTTCTTTTTCTTTTTTTTTGCAGAATGTTGTTAGGTTTTTTAATTTTTTTTGTGTTTTTTTTTTCTTTTTCCCTTTTCCCATGATGTACTACCGGTACCTCGAGGCTCGGCAATGAAGTCCGGGCTCGGCAATGTTGGGTGACTGGTAGCCCTAGCCTCGGACTTGATAGCTGGGCGAGGTACTGGTGGTTTAAGTGGGTGAAAGCATATCAGATTAATAGGATTTGGGTGTTAAAAGTTAAGGACAAATGGTCAACTTTGAAACAGGATACATCTGTAGCTGACCTCCCGCTAGACCCGGCCAATTGGACTTGGACAACCCCCACAGGAAAGGGAAGGTCATATTCTCTGTTCCTGGACACTTTAACAGTCAAATCTACCTTAGCTACAGGATCCTAGGTCAAGGGTCAATTATATTAAAGATAGAGTGGAGGCTAGATGGATGAAACACTTGAATGGAATGAAACACTGGATTTCATTCCATTAGATCCAGGCCTGCCAAAGTAGCATCCTTTCTTTTTTTTAACACGCGCCCGCCAGTGTTAGTGGTGCTGATAAGAACAGACACCACCAGCACCTGGGGAGAGGCAAAATCTATTGGTGAGGAGCATCACCTGCTGGAAAACGGGTCCAGCGTCCCCTATACAAACTGGATTTGGAGAATATGAGAAAAACAAAATGTGGGAGATTCCTGCCAGCATTGATTACCCTAGGGAGCAGGGGATTGACTGAGCAGGCTATTTGAGGGGGGGGGGGAACCTCGTTGCCGTGAATCCGTTGCTAGATTCCTGCTGCTATGCCCTGGTTCCTCGCGCCCCCTTTTTAAAAGCTGAGAACATCTATAGGAATTAGAAGACCATGAGCCTCCTCTTAAAAGTCCTGATTGCCAGCATTGACTGCCCCATTAGCTGGGGGTTTGCCTGTGCAACCCATCCTCCTGATTCTGTCCTATCTCTCCTATATTCCCAGCGCTGTATCAACATTTTGTACCCAATAGCTGGGGGGTTAACCGTGCAGCCGTCGGCGGACCTCCCTGATAGTCTGCCATTATATTTCCAGCGCTGTCTCAACATTTTGCTGCAGGAATGATAATCAGTCCCCGGAGGGGCACCGGAGACTGAAGTACTCCTTACAATGGCAAATTTGAAATTACACATCCTTGCCTCCCAACAAACGACTGGATTATAGACAGATGCACGCTGGAGCATCCAGGCATTGCTCTGCCATCATTATCATGGTGTAAGTTCTGCAAATCACCTTTTCCTTCTCGACTCTTATTGGAAACTATTGAGCATATTTCCTGCAATGCCCAGGCCTGGGGCAGTATGGTTATGGGCCTTATGGCGCTGGTGGGATAGGATCTGGTCTCTATTAGAGACTTCCCAATCATGGCCCTGGGAGTTGAAAACATTACGTACCCCAGACAACTTGGATGATTTCCCACCACCTACCCCTATCATGGCACTAGCTACTGCATGGTTGTGACCTTGGTACTGCTCAGGGACTTCGGCCTAGCAGTATAGCGGCCTGTCGGCGACCTGCCATTTGAATGTGCTCTAAATGTGAAAAAGACAAAAATGTGGCGGGTGCATCTGGCCATGTTCTAGCGGGAAGTTCATTCTCATTTTACAGATTTCGAGAGTGGTGTGGCGAGATGCCCTTACCCAGACTTGGCCTAAAACAGTGGCCAAGTCTTCCTTCGTCCGGTAGGCACTGCCGGCCGGATCTTTCCGAAGTAACTGCCATTTCCCCTAAACCTTTTTTTTTTTTTTTTTTTTTTTTTCTCGCCTAAACTGTGTGTGTGCGTGTCTGTTTGTGTGTGTTTTCGGTGGCTGAAAACGGTAATTTTTATTTTCACGAGTTCTTTTTTTTTTGGGAGGTTGGTGTCTCAGGTGGTGTCTACGGTGGACATTACCCTCCCCAAACACAAAGAAAGGGATGAAAATCGCACCAAAAAATTGTCGCTTTCAACCGCAAACAATTTCCTCAACACCTTTCCGCGGTTGGAAAACGAGGCCGCAAACAGCCTACAGCGGCAGCCAGATACATCGGCCGGGCTTGGCACTTGGAAAACGGGGCTGCCGCAAACCGCCTACAGCGGCGGCCAGATACATCGCCCAGATACATTGGCCGGATACATCGGCCAGATACATCGGCCAGATACATCGGCCAGATACATCGGCCAGATAAATCGGCCAGATACATCGGCCGGGCCCGCGGCCAATGCATGAGAAAGGTACTGGAGGGTTAAAACTGAAAAACAAAACGTCAGTTTTAACCAAATGGCTGATAGTTGGCCAACACCTATGGGGCCCAGGCACTATTACCAGGCATCCACGTGACCTACTGGGCCTTAACCAAATGGCTGATAGTTCATCAGGTCGTGGGACGATTGATTCTTTTTTTTTTTTTTTTTCCAGATAAACAACTTGGACACCGGCTGATGTGGAAAAAAAAGGAAAAGAAAAAGAAAAAGGAGTAAAAAATTACTAAAAATTGAAAATTCTTCAATGATCGGATAAATAAGTACACTAAAAAGGTCCTAACAATATTTCTACGGGTAAACAAAGTGTTAAAAAAACGAAAAAGAACTCTTTTTTATTTTCTTTCTGTCTTTTTTTCATGTTTTCTCTCCTCTTTTTACAGGGGGTGGGCTCTGCTTGCTGAGTGAAGCGGAGACCTGGACGTGGCCCCTGAAACGGCAATGCTGCATCAGGCCCTAATAAAAAGAGGACCTTTTTAAGTGGAAAACAAAAAAAAGAAAGGTGGATTGATTCTGATGTTGATTGTTGTTGGATTAACTGTTAATCTGTCTTTTTTCTTGTAGTTTGATTCTGATTTGATTCTGATTTGGTTTTGATTTGATCTTGATTTGATTTGATTTGATACGATTTGGATATGATCCTTATCTCTGATTGGTTGTTTCTCTGAGCTATGACAACCCTCTTCCACCGACTGGAATGACATTGTACATTGTACGGTCATTATTGCTGTATTTGGACGAATGTTCAGTCTATGTACACTGAGAAAACCATAAGACCGTACTCATATCCAGGTGCTCTATTTGCACCAGGCTTTGGATGTGTGTTGTGCAAACCTTCAAAAAAAAAAAAAAAACCTGTTCCCTGTCGTTTGTTATAAATTATAATTAATTTACTCAAAATTTGCTCACTCAAATTCAAATTCACTACCTTTCACCCATCAGACCTGCCAGTGAGTTCGAAAACCACTGCAATCAGATGACCTAAAAATAACTTTGCAGTCTCATGTGCCTGCAATCAGATGACCTAAAAATAACTTCGCATTCTCATGTGCCTGGTCATCCCGAAGATGACAATGTCATCTTAAACCACGGCAGTACTTCCTAAAGTAGTGCCCGCCACGATTTTAGGAAACGTACGGATCACTACAGGAGCGCCCAAATTCATCCGTAGAGTAGAAATGTTTCTACTCTATTCTGTGGGAAATGTTTCTACTCTATTCTTTCCCACAGCCCATAGCTGGGCCAAGTACTGGTGGCCCAAAGTTGGAGAGATGCAGATTGGTGTTGCTAAATGAAATTCCAATTATTAACTGGAATTTCCAATTTTGAATTTTTCAATTATTTTTTGTTAGTTGATTTTTGCTTTTGGTTCTATTAAGAAAACGTTATTGGTAAGCAAAGATTCTACCGATCCTGCAGCAGTGATCGATGGCCCCGATGTACTGATGAGGAGCTGCACCTGCTGGAGAAAGGGTTCACCATCCCTCCTTTTTTTTTTTTTTCCTTTCTTTTTTTTTTGGCTCTTTGTAAATCAAATAGTACAAATATACACAATATCATAATACAAGAATATACAGAGAATCTAAAATATTAGTTCAAACACAATGTACTGCAATGGATTCATTGAATGAATT